TGCCACAGTTGGAACAGATGAAGATGTTGAAATAGAAGGGGAAACAGCAAACGACACGGAAGGGGAGGTAGAGGCAGGGATAGTATTTGTAGATGAAAGATCTGTAAATTGACTATCTTCATTACTATCTTGCCATAACTTCTTCATCCCGCTTACATGCATAGCCCACTGCAGTAGAGCAATTACTTCATATTTTCTTTTGAGAAGTTGTCTAAAAAAATTCTAGTCCTCTATAACATAGGAGTGCACCACCAATTAGGTAAAAATAATTTTTTCCAGAAAATTACTGTACAAACCTTTCAGGGAATTGGATGTGTTTCATAGGAAGCAATAATTTCATTTATACACAAATAATACAAAAAGTAATATTACAGACATGAAGATACAAGACAAGCAGTAACAACTTGTGTGATTCCTTTACCACAGAAACTAATCATCATAATAAAGCAAATGGTTTGAACCCGGGAGTATCGTCATATGTTTGTAGATTTAGATCGTCCAGGTCAGTAGAGTCCTGAGAAGGACTGTTTTTGTTTTTGTTGACTGACGTTTTGACAACCTTACCGGTTGTCATCTTCATAGTCAACCTTAGAAGGACTGAAGATGACTACCTCTAAGGTTGTCAAAATGTCAGTCAACAACAACAACAACAGTCCTTCTCAGAACTCTACTGAACTGGACGATTTACATCTACAAACATGAAACTAATAACATCATTTACGTAACCTATAAGTGCAAGACAACTGTGTATTTTTAATCCCCAGTTTCAGCAACATGCATACAATTGAAAACACAATTTAAACACAATAAAAGCAACAATTCAAAATACAGTTTTAATACACAGTGTACACTTTGTAGACGTTTGATATATGATAAACTTTTGCTAGATGATAACGAGGGGGCAGAATAGCACATGAACATTAATTATATGTGTGTCGCTGAGTCTTACCTGATAAACAGTATTCCCTGCATTGTACTAACTAATTTATATGTTTTCTTGTTGAGTTGTTGAACAAAGTAATTGCTTTCCATTTCTTAACTATAACAACAGGTCATCATTTCAATTTCCTTTAGTTTTAACATAACTTTTAAAAGTGTTTTATAACTTCAGTTGTGCCTGACTGGTTTCTTTTTACAGTAAAATGCTCAATTGTATAAACGAATTGCTTTCAAAAGAAACAACTTGGTCACAAGTAAATGCATGAATAAATCAGCACCCACCCACCCCCATAATGTCCAGGATGGCACTGATAACCATCAAATCAAATGTTAGCAGAGGTAGCCTAGCTCAACAAGCTTGCAAGTTTTATTCTTGCAATGTAAATTTCCAAACATGATCAATATCCATTTCTTTTGAAATCTATTCTTTGCACAGTGGATATGCTGCATACACATGGTAAATTTACATAAAAATCACTGGTGTATTCACCCCGCATCTTAAGTTCAGTTATGTTGACTCTTATGTTCTCACTTACTGTTTAAACAATAGATCTCAATAGAAATGAAATAATGATGTTCTAAAATTTACGGAGCAGGATCACAACTTACAAGCTGGGTATTCCACTTTTAGTCTCACTGCAAAATTAGGCATGTTGAAAGCATCAATGAAAGTTGGTGCACAAGCTATTTATATTGCTGAGCTGTTTTGTGTTTCTGTATATGTAAGCTCTAAGAAACCTTGGCCAAAAATGAAGTAAAAAATTAATGCATGTTTCAATCCAGAAGAAACAATTATTTTAAGAACTTACCATGGCAAAACAAGCACTCAAATGAATACCAGTTCCCCAAAGTATTGAGATTGCTATATCACTGTTGGGCACAATCATTATGACTCTAGGATGCTATAACACTTCTCGTATTTCATTTGCAATAAATATTTGATGAACCTACAAATTTTTTGAAGATACATCAACACATTCTGTATCATCTAATTCCAGTACATCAAAATCCATAAAAAATAATGTTAACAAATTAAAATATTGTAATTGCTAATTAAGAAACTTTACAAATAAATGAGCATGTGATATGGAGAAAAACATACTGAGGAACAGCAAGGTAACCATGCCAAAGGTTTTAGTCCAACTATTAATTTTTACATTGAACATGAAAATACCCTTGTTTTTGATGGTAAACAGTTTACAGTTTAACTTGCCAGATGGAAAGTCTTGTACACACTTACATAAGTAAATTGTTATAGTTCAACTTGTCAAAAAAATATCTACAGCATCAGATTGACATGTATTTTGCAGGTGATCACAGCAATATGATATAGGCAGCTATTCAAGTTAACTCGAAAGAACTTTCTTTTTTAAAATATAACTCTCGGACAAACTTAAGTTACTTAGTATTTAAAACATTGTAATCTTGAAGCTTATTTGTTTCTTACAATTAATATTCGTTCAAGGTTACCTTAACTTGTGGACTGATCCTGCCAGTCGGGTGTAGCTAACTAAGCTAAATCATACCACTCATATGTGCATGCTATTGTTAGTTTCGTATAGTAATTTCTATCAGTACAAAAGTGTACGAGAATTGATGTTTGCTCATTAAGATGCATTTATGACCAAGAAGGGAATGGATAAGCACTCTTGTTTGTCTTTTGTCTTTTTATAGTTATGATATACCCAATGTACCCAGTATGTAAATTCTATTAGAGGCTGCATGGTTTGCGGACATTACCATTGAAAACTCCGTACATCCACTTCAAGTTGTAAACACATTTCGTTTAGGATCATAATTCATAAGCTATGGATAGATTATATAAGTAAAACCACAACTTCCATTTTTCCTTGTACACAATTGGCAAGTTTCTTTACTTAGCAATAATGTGTTTTATATCCATTACATGAGTTGTATCCAAATAAATCTTGAATTAATGGTTGATATTTGTTATGACTGTACTGTACAGTTAGAGCCAAGGTCTTTAAAATGCACGTTCTCTGTTGTCAATAGAAATACCTCATAAGCATTGCGTAAAATCCTGATTCATAGGCAATGTGTCTTTGTTTTATGTATTAAAATATAATATTAATATATATAAGTTATATGCACTAATCACTATCGAAAATATAGTTCTTTTCATTTCAAGCATCACTAACCATTCAAGATTTACTTGGATACAACTCTTTTAATGGTAATGAAGAACGTAGTTGCTAGAGAAAAGCAAATTTATAGTCGTGTGAAAGTGCAAGTTATACATATATATAAACCATATCTTATAATTTATGAACTGGGTTTTAAAATTTCAATTGTAAGCGAATTTTAACGGCCCTCAAAACTAATAATACTTCCTCTTATTAACAACACATTGTTTTGTATATTTTGATAGGTATAACAAATACAAATCGTAAATATTCAAAGCGGACACGTATATATCCACGTATTTTAATGTGGACAGCAGAGAACGTTGATTCATGGAGCACATTCAAGTGGGCATACATAGAAATAAAGAATTCTTGATAATATAATATCAACTTCTTTCAAACTTTTCCATGCAAAAAAAGTGTTTTTTATACCTGCGACAGTTAGCTACACACAAAAGAAGTACACTCAAAATGCAGCAGAGCAAAAGCGGGATAAAGTTTGCATTTTCAAAATTAGTTTGAGATGAATGTATGAATGTGCTGCATACAAAACAATACAGCGTGAAATAACAATTCTTTATATATTGCTTTGAAATTAATATAAAAATTGTACGAAACATGTCGACATCCGATTCTGAGTGGAGTACAGCAAGAATGGCAGAAAATATTGAATTGAACAGGCTGCAATTCGATTTAGAAGACGAAGATCAATCGTCATTAAAAGCGCTCTGAAACACCGATGCCTATTTTGAGTACCGCCAAGCTGCAACGTATGAAAACGAACCACTTGCTGATGATGAGTGGTTAGAAAACTATAATAGAGAGAAGAAAGACCCAAACAGAAGAGCTCAAACGCAGAATGCAAAATGAAGTTCCTCTTGATCCTTGGTAAGAAAAGTTGGAAAATTTGTTTATTTATTGTTGCCAAAGCTTTTGACAGATAACTTTCTTCGGTGCAATTGTGGTAACTGCCATGTTCCTCTCTTGGTTAATCCAAAAGAATGTAGATGTTACAACATAATTATCAATTGCATGATTGAAATGCAAGATCATTAGTGGTATCCGAATTAGGAAGGCAGCCAAAATGCATCACAGACCATCCAGGATTTGATGCCATTTGCCTCAATCAATGCGCATTAAATTTAGCTGCCAATCTTTACCAAAGACGAGATGGAGTTAGATATTGTAAATGATTCTTGGAGCAAAGGTTTGTTACAATTAATAGTTAAATGCCTCTGTCTGGGTTATCTATGAATGCACAATTGCAAAATTTGTATTTTATGTACTCCTACCTGTTTTAATGGACCTTGTGTATTACGCCTTTTCAGGTTTTTTCGAGTTGTTGCATGTAGACAATTTGCAAGAATGGTACTTGGCATTCTTCGAGTCAAAAGAGTTCCACTTCCAGGTTGTGCTTACCATGTTATTCAAACAACTTTAATTTAAAAAAAATGAACATTTTGCAGGGTATGAAGAGGACAATTTGTAAAATGACATAACATTATATATCATTTTAGGTGTAGTGTGCATGAGCCAGCTAGTAGGGATTCGGTGAAGTGTGGAATGATTTTAGCCACTCTTGATGTATTGCATCTTCAATTCACACTTATTCTTGTTATACAAAACATACAAAATTACAATCGCCAATTCCTTATCTTTTTATTCTTTCCATGCAGTCATTTCACACTTCACTGAATCCCAACTAACTGGGTTCATAACACCAGCTCCTAAAAAAGTGGTTGCTTTTGGGTTTTTGGACAGTAGTTTAATGGACACATATTTTTATGGCTTTTCATCCAATTCTTCCACACAGTGCATCGAAGTGCTTCCCTCTCATTTCTCTGATCAGTGATTTTTTCTTGTACAGGTGATACTCAGCGATATCAAACAATAAAGTGAGTCAGTTCCAAAAATAAGATTCAAATTAACTCAAAGCAAGGAATGCCTCTTTGTAAAACCTGGCTTAGTTGGGGGAAAATGTACAGCTGGCATGCTTTGTCTTCTTGCTTTTTTTTGATATAGCTCCACTTCTTGATTGCTTGTCCAACATGGAATTCATTGGCAATTGAGTCATTCAAAAAGATCACCTTTGGCTTTTCTCAATGTTTCCTCATCAATGAGTGCAGAGCACAACACTTGATGATATTTTTCTTCAACATACTCTGGAGGAGCAATGTGCAAATTATTCAAAATTTAACTTTATGGTAATCATTTCTTATTAAGGCTTTGATTATTATGGCATTTAACACATGACATCAGGCAGTAGGAGAAATATAATAAATAACCTTACCAAAATCCTGAGCAACTTTTACATTTCTTACAACAGCTTCACCATTTTTAATTTAATTTTGCATAATGCACTTTAACCTGGGGAACTACATTAACCTCTTGATTATCCCTGTCCAAATTGCTGTTGAAGGGATTTACAGCAAGGATATACCTTCATGAAATATAAAATTGCATTCAATTTCTTGAAAGAGTTTAATTGGCACAAGGTAATAAAAACTGTAATGACACATAGGTGTTTCATCACACATGTTTCATAGAATACCTGCAGAACATTCCAGGAAAAGAGTAGCTGATCATTTTGGGTGCGAACTGAGTGAAATTCCTTCAATGCACTTGTTTCAGACATTGGGGAAGCTTTCATGATTCCAACAATCAACCTTGGTTTAGTTAAAGCTGCATACATCTTATTGTATGATGTAGAATCTAACAACATAGCAATGAATAAGGATTATTACACACAGAATACTTCTTTTTAATAGGAACAAGAATTGTTTTAGGTTTTTTACCTTCATTTAGCCATTTGTGTGGTTTTATGTTGGAATCATGAGCACATTTGTCAAATAAAAGGTCGGAAAATGCATTGTGTTGGTTTTTGACATGGAAAGATTTAAACTTAGCAACAATCACATTGCCGTTACCAGAAGGTGTTGATGTAGCACTCCAGTACAAATGGTTCAACAAGGTCTTATCTAGCTTGATAAAGACTAACATCCAGTATATTTTTCAAGTTTGGTCAGGACTTTGGTCACTTCTAAGATGAAATATAAAATACGTTTTAGATAAACAATTCAACTATTAATGCCAGTGTAGGTAGTAAATTGTATACTAGCTATATGTTAAATTTTTACTTCATAAAGTACTGCTTCATTAATTAAAAAAAATCATTACTTTTTTTCAAATGCCAAAGTTCAAAGTAGTGGGTAATATTTGGACAATTCTCATATGTTTGGCAATTTGTGTGTGCCCGTCAGTGATTAGCATGGAGATTGGAATATTGCAAGATTTACAGAAATCCATTGATCTTTTAAATCTCTCAAACTCCATACCAGTGCTATTTCCAACTTCATTTCTCTACAAAATAGAAAATAGGTAAATAATTTTAAAGAAGAAAATCACATAATTCAAAGAAATGTACCTGCACAAGAGAAAAACTAATGATTTGAGGTACTGTGCAACAGAATGTTGCATATGCACAATATTTACTACTATGTCCCATGGAATTGTGTCTTCCATCCCCAGCAATTGCAATAGACTGTTTACATGCCATCACTTTCTCTATCAAACTGTCTTGGTATTTTTTCCCGTAGATCACCAATGCAGGATAAAGTTTTTCCTACACAGAATTTTAGAAAGACTTTCAAGCTGTTCTTTTGATTGTAGTAATTTCTTCATGACTTTCTTTTACATCATGGGATAAGTCTTACATGCTGATGAGAGAAGTATGTACTCAATGAAATGCATGCCAATCCATGTGCTGTAGAACTCTGGTCACCTTTGTGGCAGAGGTTCCAGCAGCCAAAATACCTAATGACAATAGCAAATTTCCAGCAGGAATGGAAGTCTCAGTCATGACTGGTTGACGATTCCATGTTGTGTTTGCTCCACATTTTTGATTGGAACAACTAACTTTCACTTTTGCCATTGAACCATTTTGCAATATCTCAATTTAAAAAGTGCAAACAGTTGGGTGAAGAACGCAATGAATTTTTTCTCTGTTTTTAGGTTGGGGTCTTTGTTGAGCACTCTACAAAAGAAAAAACTCAATTTATGAAATGCAATAGTAGCTATCAATAAATACAATTACATACTGGCACACATTTGTGTCATCAAGGTAGTGACTGATTAAATAAGCTGATTAACTTTCATTTATTTAACAATCACCACTATTTTAACATTGCCATGGTGATTGATAAAGTATAGTTCTCATCCAAAAATTTTTACATTTTAAATGTTCTTGGCTGCTCTGATTCAGAGTCACATCTATGTCATTAGATGTGATTATTTCTTCTGTCTCATAACTTTGTTCAGCACCCAGATCACTCTCTGAGTCTGAGTCACCACTAAGATCATTTGGGTCCAAAAGCTCCTCATCAGGACAACTATCACAATCAACCACTTTCCTACTATTTGATGATTCTTCATTGCTGCTGTTGTTGTCATACTCTTCTTTGAAATAAAATACTTCAGTAATGTGCAGCTACACAAGTTTAAGTCCATAGTTCATAGTAATTAACTTCAATAATTTTCCAGGGGTGCATGCAAGCTTACTTGGTAGTATTGAGGTTTAGACCTATTGCACTGACGTCACATTTTTGCGACGTCAGCGCCGGAAGTTATGTTCTGGGGGTCAATGGCATTGTATTCTCTATTCAATGTTTTCTCTATTCTATGATTATGGCAAGCAAATGATTTATTCTATAAGCAATACTGTGTGAAAGGTCCAATTGAGTAAAATGCCTCCAAAAAAACCAACTCATAAAGGTTTCCTGCCCGGTTACTACGCTAGTATAAGGTCAAAAGAATGTAGGGAGAGATATGAGGCAAGAATTTCATTGATACATTCTGTTGACCCATACAAGATACCAAAAAACGACTGGGAAGATTGTATGGAATTATGGCCGAATATTTCTTACATAAACGTGGGCATGTATTTATTGTTTTCGGTAAGCTCATACTCACAGGACGAGCTTATGAACTACAAAAGTCTTTTGTGCTACCAGAACTTTGCGAATGGCTGGGTTCGAGAAGTTTTGTTAAAAGAATTTGGCGATAATCGGCTGATGATTGCGAAGGTATGTGTGTTCATTAATTATCTTCAATAAGCGATATCTGCTTCTATTTCTTATAGATAAATGTGAAACGCTAAATTTATTACATTTAAAAATTAGCAATGATTTGTTCAAACACCCTCCATATTTCTTATCAATCATTTGTTGCTATCTAGGTAAATCACTCGCAAAAAATGTCAGAGAAGCCACTGACTCCATGGGTTATCTGTGAGAAGGAAGGGAAGATTTTGTTTGGTCGCTGTGATTGTATGGCTGGTTTAGGGGAAAGCTGCTCCCATGTAATCAGTGTCAGCTGAGTCAACACACAAATATATATTGCATACATGTACTAAACAGTAATGTTATAATGTTATTTCATTTCAGGTCCAAGCTCAATTGTTTTACAGTGCACGCAGCTATTGTGATTTTGTTGTGTGGAGTGAGAAAATGCTCTACATAGAAAGAATTTTGCCCGATGAGAAGTTTTGGAAAGAAAATGTATCTCGAGTAGAGAAATTATTATCAAAAGGATCCTTCCCGAGCTGCTTGGGAAATTTTACTCTCGCACACATCAGGAAAAAAGAATACGACTCAATGTATAAAGCTACATACATTAGCAGATCCAGGGTAGGTCAGAATACATTATAGTAGCTAATTTTAAATTCAAAATAATTTAACAGCAATGTTGCTGGTTAGAAATTTCAAAAAAATATTTAAGAACCAGAACATCATCAATAATGTTAGTTGTAAAGTATTTTGAATGGGAAATATATTTATATCAACGTATTCTGACCTACGCTAGATCCACTATTGCCTCTAAATAATAAACATTCATTCGAATGGGACTACTGAATCACACATGTTATTCAATGCACAGCTGACTGTTACTATTTTGTCAAGTGTGGTCTTTCCTCCTTTTGAAACAACAAAGTCTATTGGTTGAGTTGCAGAAAGGATTCCATATTTTTTTCGAATATTGCCAATTACACGTTCCACATTGATTCTTACATTAGCAATCTTCCTAGTTTGTTCCACCTCAATCCCGCTTAATTGCTTTTTTCCTGTTGTAAAGCTGGTATCTTTACACGAGGACAATACAATCCAACAGATTCTTGTATGTCAAACCCTCTTGTCAGCTAGAATTACATCCCCTGGGGTAAGCTTTTCTAGAAGACCACATTCTTGTGTTAAGTGTTTGTTACTGACACGACCACCCCATCCATCAGATATGAAGCTTAAACTACCTTGGGGAGTAATTCCTATAAAATACTTGACAGTGTTATGGTGTTTGTATGATGAGTATGTCTGTGCCCTGGCTAAAGGATTAGGTGCACAGTTGATGAAAATCTCAAAACAATCAATTATCACAGCACATGCTGGGCAGTTCTTGCGAAAATCCATGGGCATTGTTTTTAATAAGGCTTCTCGATCAGGCCAATGGGTAAGTGGACAAAGCCTGCTATGTAGAATATCCATCATTTGAATAAAAATTCTGGAAACAGTTGCCTCATGGATTCCACCAAACCTATAGGCTAAGTCTTTACCAGAAAGGTTGAGTCTTATCTCATTAATGTAAGAATGAGTCTCTGGAAAGGGCTAAGCCTACACCTGGATGATTGTAACAAGAAGCCAGACACAAAGCTGTAAAGGCACAAAAGAAGCTTCCAGGTAGGTAAACCTGTATAGAAGAGTACCTTTTCATCATCATCTTTAAATGCATCCTCATTTAGTTCCTTTTGCAATAATTTTTTCTTTAAATCAGAATTTTCCTTCCTTAGAAAATCCACCTCATCTTCAAGTAACCTCAGCTCATTGACAGTTTAATCAGTCTGTGTTGACATTTCATTTGCCTTTGGTTCAGAGGTGTCCATTTTATCAACAACCTCATTGGCTGCTCGCTTGACATTGCTATAAGGGCATTAGCAGTTTCAGATCTTCTCATCTTTTCAATTGTCCCTGATATGAAGTGATCGCTACACACACGAGCATTCGCAAACTTTTCTGGCGTAAGATCTTCCCTGCGAATTCGTTGAAGCCATTCCTTTTGCCTTTCAAGTTGAAGTTGCTTCTTGTTCACATTCACATTACTTTTGACAGAAGGTAGGCGAAAAAACCGTCTATTCTTTTCTCTATTAGATCGATTCGAGCATGCAAAAACAGCGCAAAAGTGAACCATGATGACCGAAAGTTTTACTTCCTAATACTTATTTATAAATGGCGGCAGCTTACTTGACCCCCAGAAAAGCTGAACATCAGCTGTGACGTCATGTGCAAAGGGTCTATTAAACATGGCTGATCCTATTACGTTGGCAAGTCTTCTCTTGACCTAGAATCATACATGAAACAAAATTAACAGGCGCATCATCTCAAAAAACACTTACCCACTGCAAGCATATCCATATTAGAACTGTTTGCATAAGTTCTGCTACACTGAAGCTTATACTTTGCCCAAGCTATAAGTTCCTGCAACGACGTTTCTCTTTTTCAAGTTTTAAACAATTTTGGCATTGTAATTCACATTGCACAGCTACTTCCTAAATTAGAAACAGCAGCAATACATATACAAAACAATAATTTACGTTAACCCTTACAGCATTGGTGTAATAATCATATAAGTTTACCTTTTTTAATACAGGCTCATCACAAGTTGTTTCTTCTATTTGCTCTTGAGGTTCGCTACTTGTACTGGAAATATTCTCTGATTCAACCTCTTTTTTATAATCAGACATCCATATTCTTTACATCTAAAATGGCATACATTTATGAAATATACTTTCACACAGATTCCAGGTAAAATGTAGATATGCATAAGTATAATTTTCAAGGTACTCAACATTCTGCAATCTATTGTAGTAGGTTCATTGTCATCTTTTCAAGGATATATGCTTGGGTAAGCAATGATTCCGAATTTGTCTCAAATGAGTCAAGGTCCAAAATTAGTCGAATTGCCGAGATGCCGAGAAAACAAATCTTTTGTGACATGTTCCGAGCAAACTGCGCAATCCTTTGTGAGGACCCACTTATTGCGAGTGGCTTTCACATAGTTGACCCATCGCTTTCTTCTACCCCTAGCTTCGCTTCTTAAGTTTTTAAAAAGTGGTATGTGATGAAATTAGATGCCTTTCTCCGAACTGGCTACGTTAGAACAACCGAAAACTACACATCGAAGTTGTTTTGGTAGTCGGTCTGTGTTCCTTAAATGACGTCACAAGTAAGTCCCACGTTTCAGATTAGACCTCTCGACATTTACAAAACGTTGAAATTCAGGTTTTATTTGCATCTTTGCCGAAATATAACTCAAAAACGAAAAAAGTTATTCAAACTCTGTAAATGGCATTTGCATTATTTATCCAAAATCTATTTGAGAATAAAAAACTAAAAATAGTTGTATGTGCACTTTAAGAGCCTGTTCTTTGGATTGTTTAGTGTGCATGGTGTTCATTGGAGGTGGACACATTTCTTTCAGCTTTGTCTCAGCTTCTTCAAGTTCATTCTGGATTGCTGACAGAAATATCTTGTATATCTCTTGTATATATTCAATGTTTATAAAATACACTCAACTAATCAGTGAATACAAAAGAATATGAAGATAATAGTTTATCTTACCAAAGTTCTGACTGATTCTAACATTCCGCACAGAACATCTTGATATGATTACTCATATCGTAAATGTATTTCATTCTCAGGTACCAACCATATATTGGTGGGATAATTTTGATAGAAACGATCGTGTTCCAAGAAGTATACGGTTGTACATTGTGCTGTGAAAATGCCAGTATACCAAAATCCAGCAAACGATCAATTGAGCTCCATGAGATGACAAACAATGCTTACAAAACAGTTCATCCTAAAAAGAATCCATCAATGTTTTCAGGAGAAAATATTAGAGAGGGAAACACAGATGCTGACAAAATGTGCTCGCTGTTGTTAATTATGTGGAAATAAATCACATTTATCAGTTCCAATGATCAAATCCATCCAAGATTTAGAGGTTGGATCATAAACCAAGTGCAAAAAGCTGACAGCAAAAAGACATCGATGACTTGTCTTACAACAATTTTAACTCCAATAACAGAGTATGACACTATCATCCAGATTTTCAAGGTCTCTGGAGAACTTGCAAAACAGTCGAACATGTCTTATATGCACATCACTCTGGATGTTGGAGCCGTTATTAAAGCATTCCATGTAATACGATTCCAGGATCTGAAGAAGCATTTACTTTAAAATGCTACGAGGAAGAAATTGATAAGCAATACAGCAGAATTACTCTCTATGTATGTTTATTGTCGTACTACTTTGATAGCATTATGTCAGATTTGTCAGTTGAGGAATTGACACATGCAACATTTGAGGGATGTAAGATCACTCAAGAACAAGAGTCTACTCTATTCCGTCATTTCACCCTGTTACTGCCAGCACACATATTTTGGTCGATGATCAAGAGAAAATGGCTCAAATGTCCTCTCAACTTCCATTAGTTTATAATGATGCTGCTAGTACATCTATTTCTTCAGCCAAACATCAGAAAATACAGTGTCCTATTTGTTTGAAATGTTACTCCATAAATGATATAGAAACTCATGCAGATAGCTGTAGTATGTGGTTGTTAGAGGCTGATGAACCATTTTTTGACTCCTCCCAAAACGAAAATGCTAAAAGAAATGATACCCTTGGTGAAAACCTCTGTGCAATGTCAAAAACTGAGAAGAGCAAAGCACTGGCTGATGAAATTTCCAGAGTTGATCGGAAGGAACTATCACAAGAAGAACCAAAGCGAATCACAGTCAGGAGAAAGACCATTTGGGAAGATTTCAAGCAAGCATTGGAAAGAAAGATAAGTCATACATCTAAATCAAAAGTTGTCTTTGCTGGAGAGGTTTAACAGTTTAATAACCAAATGTACATAGTAAAGCATACAATTTGTGAAACATTAAGCTTAGTTAAGCTGTTATACTATAGCAACCTGGTAAATTGTATGTGGCTGTTCTGTTTGTTGATGTGAGTGTGAAAGTCATCAATCTCGTCTGCATGTAGTGCTGTGATCGTGTCATCTACGTAGCGGAACCAAAAAGGTTGTGCATGTTTGTAAGTCGTGATCATATATTTCATTACAATTTCAGCAACTACAACAGAAACGGGTGAGCCCATTGCTGTTCCATGTAATTGTTTGTAGTGTGTACCTTTGTACTGGAAGTAAGTCGAAGTGAGGCAGAGCTCCAGTAGCTCCATAATGTCTTCTGTCGGTAAAGGCAGTACGTCCATGGTGTTTGTAAAGAGGGTTTTTGTACAAGTAAGTGCCAGATTAAGTGGAATACTGGTAAACAGTGATTTCACATCAAAAGACACTATTATATAGTTGTCCGGTATTTGTATAGTGCTCAGTTTTTTAATGAAAGCTTCAGTGGATTGTAGCTTGTGTTTTGATTTGCTTGTAAGTGGTTGCAGTATGTCAGTCAAGTACTCAATGCATAAGACGAATGGGGTACACAATTGGTCGCATGGGTATTTGTGGTTTGTGATGTTTTGGTAATCCGTATAGTCTGGGTGGTCGTGGTACTGAACATGTAAGTCGATAGTAAATATGCTCAGATATAATGTTAGATTTTCTCATAGAGTTTCCCTGATATAGGAGGCGTGGCATTCTCTTGTTATGTCAAAGGCAGGTCTCCCACCTGTGCATGGCAACAATGAAAGAACATTACTGGAGGTTTTTGAAGGAAATGCTTCCACAACTTGAGATAGCTTTAATATTTCATTTTCTAAGAAACATAGCATGTCTGAAAGTGCTTTAGAGAGACTAACTTCATTGGGGGTGTCCAAAGATGATTGCTCTGAAAAGTTAGTTGCCTGCAGCTCTTCGTTTTCAGACACAGCAACAGCCATGGCAACAATTAGGTTGGCATAATTCTCCAGTTTGTTGTTACAGTGTTCAGCAATAACTGAATCTTTATTCCGGTATGCTCGCTTGCTGTAGTCAAACAATTTTTAATACTCAAAAGAAAGCCTCGCAGCTCTTCATCATCTGCCATTTTTGACATTTTAATATGTCAAACTTACACGAGGACTTCCTCGGGTCAATCTACAGCCGCTGGACAACGTTACAGCCGTAATTCTTGATTACTGCACCCCATTCGACTTACGCATTGAGTTCTATAATAACTGGAGCGGCTAACTTTACTGGGGCGAGGATGCCAAAAAATGGCGGCCAAAGGACGTATTTCCGCTGAAATGATCGCTTTGCAGAAAAATAATGTTCTCGAAGTTCTATAACTGGAGCGGCTAACTTTACTGGGGCGAGGACGCCAAAAAATGGCGGCCAAAGGACGTATTTCTGCTGAAATGATCGCTTTGCAGAAAAATAATATTCTCGACCTCCCCCTGGTGTCTATAGTAAGTTATAAAGAATTTTTCAAAAACAAACACGATATCACAGAATATGGATATCGTAGTTCCATATTCTGTGACGATTCTTTTTTGGCATTTCTTTTATAATGCTAACACTTCAATCGTTCAATTGTTGGATGTCGTAGTTTCCACAAAAAGGAACATATCGCTTCTCACAGGTGAGGTAGTTGTTTGTTTTGTTAGTCCATCAACGATTGAAAAGCAATTATACATTCACTTGAAAAGCCATAAAATACATATTAAAGATCGTATTTTTTAAGACTGACTTGAACGCCAAATATACTGATGTTTTCCTGTTTTTGTTTATAAAATTCTGCATACTTTTCTGTCATTTGTTAATCCATGAAATCGTAAATTTACCCATTTATTTGCAAAATAGTTTCCCTAAAGCAAAAAGGACCCTGCACACATTTTGCTCTGGGAGTAATTATCAAAAAGAAATGATCAGCCCCAACGGTACCCATGATTTGGAGCAGAGCTTGTTATGTTCTATTTGCTGAAAAAATGCAGGGAAGATCAAGAAGTAAAGATGACTGGAAGATGTTATTGACCAGGCAGAGTCTTAAAAAATGATAATGCTGTAAAGATAATTGATTTATTGTCTGCCCTATCCAGAGTTATTTAATTTGATCGTGGTCAAATTCTATGGATGGAGACAATGGATTCACTAAGGATGCTTTGAATGCTTTGAAGTTAAAGTTCATGATCCAAAGAAAAATGGCAAGAAGGTTGTGTGTGTTTTGATGCTTAATGAAATGTCAATTCACAAACATGTAAAATGGAAGGCCATAAAGTTTGTCTTTATGTAAACATTTGTACTGAGATTGATGATGAGTCGATGCAGATGTGAAGCTTCAAACTGTATAAGCCATTGGCTTTTATGTAACTTAATGTTTAAATCATGTCATATCTTTATCAAAGTTTTTTAGTTGAGTGTTGTTTGAATGTTACTAATATCTAATGCACTATACTGAAGCATTAAAGATTCAGTGATGAAACCATTAAAGTTACTGTACTGTATATTTCTTATATATTTCTTATATTTCTTTAAGAAAATTTTGAGCTTATTTACCTATTACAGTACAGAATGGAGATTTATCATAGGCATTATTGCTGCTTTTTTAAAGAAAAGTTTTTCACTTTTCAAAGCTTTTCTACAAATTTTTTGCTTCTTATTTTTTATCATGAGATTGATGATATAGAGGTAATATAATCCAATAACTTTCTAATTTCTAAAAAGCTTTTAAGCTTCTAGCATAAGAGTACACTATAGATATGTAATTCATTTGGTTTTATTGCCTAGCTATGACATATCTACTTGCACTTTATCATTCTTGTATGAACAAAACACCAGATGTGGATACTCAACAAAATGCACTACCAACTGCTTATGAAATTTATTATTGAGGTGAAAACTGTGTTAATCGTTCAAATTATAGTGCACTTTTATTGCAAATATAGGAAAAACAAAACAAACAAAGTGAAAAAGAAAGGTAGAAGTATTAAAACTACAAATGAATTATAAACACCAGTGGAAGCATAAGTGTTTTGATGATTATTTGCATTTTGCCCAATTCATATATCAATACAACAAAATCAAAATGTGATACGACTTTACAAGTATTTGATGCAGTTGCACTTTAGAACATCACAAAAAGGTTACTTAAAGTAATTTCTATACAATATTGTTTGTTTTCATTTACCAAACCTATGCAGACTTGAGTCTTTTTGAAATTTCATATGAAACTCAATTACAGGAAATCCGTAAATATCCAGAGATTTAATATGTACTTTTTTAAAGAAACAAGTAAAAATCCTACAATTGTGGCGAAAAAAGCCATTGCCCATTGCATGAAAAGAAGCAAAATAGCAATGATAACAAATAATCTAACTTCTCTCTCGTGAACCGTGGAGATTAACTATGATATACTTTTTTGTATAGACTAAAGAGTTTAATCGATCAAACAAGTTTGACGCTGGTAAGAAAACGATGCACATCTGCATTCATACATGTGTAGCCGACATACAGGTCTTTCGTCGATAGTTATAAATGCATCCTCGTAGGAGCAGATAACTGACAACCACAGTTGACTCGCTGTTATGAATTTATGGTTTTTACCTTGATTTTCATAAAAAACATTGCTAAAAAAATTGCCCAAATACATACATACATTTTCCTCACTCTTTCCTCAGGAGGGAGTGGGAAATTGTGAAATTTTCGGAAAAGCGTTCAATTTCGGTAAATCTCAGCGCAAAGGACGAAATCCACCATTTTTTTGGCATCATCAGATATCTAAGGCCGCGCTTGAGATAGCCGCTCCTGTTATTATAGAACTCAATGGTCTTATGAGACGTTGCTAATAGCCGGTAAAGTACGGGTACAAAACGTCGGCTGGTAGTCGTGGGAGATACGTACGTTGTACTTTGGTCGATTAACTTATGTTATTCTGTCATTGGTAATATCGATAATATTTGTGATTTTCTTGCTGGTAATTTTAAAAGATGCCAAGGTACACCAAATAATGGCCTTATAGCTGTTAGACTTTTCAACATTTCTTATCGTTTTTGTAGGAGAAATAAAAGGTTTAAAGCAACTGTAGCTGTCACATATCATGATGAGGATGGCCATGTTGAGAGAGAGGAGGTGGATTTGTCAGAATTGGTTACTGAGGATCATAGAGGAAGCTGTTGTATTAACAGTCCTGATAATTGTGGTGCATTGGAAGGACATGAACTGGGAATGGAACAAGATAACAGTGATCTTGAAAGTGATGTTCACCATGATTGTGAAGAATCAGCTTCTTATTACCAGAAAGTTGAAAGAAAACAAAAAGCATGGGAAAATTTGCGACATTCAATTATAAAGAATACATTTAAGTTTGCTGGCAAAAATTGGAGCAATCTGAAGTGTATTCATTGTGATAATGAAGCAAAGTTTAGGTGCAGCGATTGTGGTCCAATGGCAAAGTATTGTGAGAACTGTATTTTAAAGATGCGCACAACCGTAAATATTTGTCATCATGTTGAAATATTTAAGGTAACCTTTATGAGCTAGATATTATAAAAGTGTTTACAGTTAACTCTCTCAACACTTGCAACAAAAAATGCAAAAATAAAAAGAGAGTTTACATTGTGAAACATGCTACGAAGCACTAATCTAATATTTTTTATGAATGCAAGAAAGGGGATTGATTGCAACTAATTTCTACGAGGTTATTCTTTGCTTTGTAGGATGGCATGTTTTGGCCATATAAACTCATGAACATGCTGGTGTATGATTGTTCATGCCAAACAGCTCGTCACAAGAAGTGTTTCTGTTGTTGATGTTAAAGGTATGTTATATGTAAAATGTGCTGCAAACGTTTCTTCATTTTAGCTGGGATGGTTCAACACAATTATAATTTTGGATCTTTTACAATTTTTAGGCACCTTTTGTACTGTTGAGGTACAGTTTTGCTCATGCTCTGCAGAGTTTGTTCAACTTCTGCAATTTGGCCTTTGGGGTGGAACACCTACAAAACCTAAAATTGCATTTGCAATTGAGTTTTTTGAATTGGTTCATTCTGTGCAGATGGAATGCCAGGCATCAATAAAAAGCATTTGTCAGTCATTTGAAGAGTTTAATCATAACCACATATTCTCTTCTTATGCAACACCAAAAATGTATCCTGTCATTATAGATGCTTTTGAAGAATACAGGTAACTGCGTGTAGGTCACTGATTTATTGCTCTGCTGTACTACGTATGAATTGCTGGGAAAGTTGCAGTCAATTTTATAGCCTAAGAATCTCATCTTAAGATGTATTTAATTGGAGGAAATCAAAATGCTAAAGTTTATGATGGGAAAGGATTTTTCCTCAAGTATTACTGTATTGCACTGTATTTTGTTTATGTCATTTGTTTAAGAGTGCATAATTGCTTTCTTTGTGTCATTGTTTTTTTCAGAATTCACAGACATATACTAAACATGTTGAGCTGTGTTATTCCTGAGCTTGATGAAGGAAATACCTGCTTGTCCAAAAGTGAGTATATTCGTATTACTCGTTTAACAATGACAATTTAGTAAAAAGAACATTAGCAATGCTATCTCAAACACCTTTTGACTGCATCATTTGCATCATTGAACTCAAATACATTGCATGATTTTATCCTTCACCATTTTATTGAAGACTGATGGGTATGATCTTTGAGTCTCTTGATGCTCTTTTTATTGGACAAAGGAAAAAAGCTGGGCAGAGTATTGGAAAACCTCTATTTGAACAGCTGATGGTCTATGATCAGACACATGCTGATCAATTTGTTGCCAATTATACCACACCTACATCAAACAAGGTCAATGTAGCTTTAATATACTTTGTTATTCTAATGAAAATTCAGGCATGGAAGTTACAGTGCTTTGAATATATTTGATTTTTTTACATTCTCTACCACACAGTTTTTATTTTCAATAAATTTGTGCCATGGGCTTTGGGAAATAAAGCTTTTGTATACTTTTTTGTTTGTTACATATTGATACTTATAGGAGTGTCACGGTTTTCTTGCTGGGAATGCTGTTCGATCAATGAATCGCTACACAGCTCTTGATGAAACAGCAATCTTTGGGCGAGGCTGTCGACATGAGTTTCCTAAAAAATTCTTAAATTTGAAACATGGAGAGAGGTCTGTTACACACATTTTTCTCTATTTTTACCTAAATGTTCTTGGTTTGAAAGAGGTGGTTAAGATGCTTGCATTTGATGGTGTAAATTTACTTTTTTCAGTTAGTTTGCTACTTTCATTGCTTTGTGCAAGTGCTGAAGCTTTTTGCATACATGTGGTTGCATTATTTAAAAAAATATTCTACATATTTTATAGATTGAGCTATGCAGTTTATGTTCTCCAAGAATTAGAGAAAGATAATGCTGATAAACCTGCACTCAAAATAAACATATTGTATGATGTTGCATGCATGTTAGTGAAACACTTACAGGTAATATTCAATTGACAATAGTTGCTTTGTTAACTGTTTCCTTAGTCAATAACTTTCCCTCAACACTTTTTTTCTTTGAAAAGGTAGTCTTTCACATGTTTTTCTTTATTTTGTTTTTTACAAAAAGAATTTGGAGGATCCAATTATTGACATTTTTCAATTTTCAATTCCAATTTTTCACTGCTATGGGCATGTTGGACGATGCCAAGGTAGTTGTTATTGTTTTTATTTTTCATACGTATTAACAGATGGCAATACCTGGGTTTTTATGCTGTCATAAGTAATGGTATTGTAGATGATAAAATGATAAAAAATCAATAATTGTTTACTAAATCTTTCTTGTAAAAGGTTAAATTTAGTCCCCGTCGTAAAGAAGGATTTGGCCTAACTGACGGTGAGATGTTGGAGAGATTGTGGGCTTACATTCGCAAATTTAGCAGAATGACTAAAGAAATGCGTCCAAGTCACAGAGTTGATGTACTCAGTGATGCTCTTTTACATTATGGAAAGAAAACGAAGATTAATTTAGGTATAACTAGTTTTTGTTTCTTTGTTTGAACAAATACATAGCTAACATGTCATCATATTATGTAATAGCAGGTATGAATTAAATTTTGTTTTTTGAGGCAATTTGCTGATGGCAAGGATTAAGCGAGCTGTTGACGTGGAAGAAACTGCAAAATCAGATATTGAAAAGTTATGCAGGTGCTTTCCGTGTGAGTATATGTTTGTATTTGCTGTGTGGTTATATTTGACTCCGATTTTGGATATGAACTATTTACAACTCACATGAAAGCAGTAAATTTTCCTTTTTTCATTATCTAAAGCTCACAGGATTTCAATAGATGATATTCGTGAGTGGATGAAGGACGAATCGACTTTTTTTGGTCGTGAAGTTGAGACTGGTTAGTAATTGAGAAATAATGGCTTGTAGCTAAGGAACAGATTTGACACATAATTATTGATACTCATTATGTGGAAATGTTTTGCCCACAGAAAACTTTTTTTAACAAATATACGTAAATCTTCAACAACTTACAGAAGAAGTTTGGAAATGCAAGTACGTTATATACCTGGACTTGTACGCTGATCTTCACCATCGATGGAATGGTTGCACTGATCCAAGTGAACTGACTGTTCGATTTAATCAGATGAAAAAGTATGTTCGAAAACTTGAACTTGTTTCTAGAGATATTAAAGTCTTAAACAGTGTGAATTTAGAAAAATGAACTGGGAAAATTTTGAAGCTATGTACGTCGTAACATTGTGAATAATAAGTTGTAATATCGAATAAAAAATTATTTCTTGTTTTTATACATACGTACAAGAAGAGATGTATATGCAACTTGCAGGTGCTTGTCTGACCATGCCTTATAATTGTAATGATTTGGTATTTACTGTTGTAATGATTTGGTATTAAAGATCATGGAAAGGGAAAACTCAACGTACGTACGCTGGGTAATATATACATGGGTAATAGCCGCCCAACGTACGTACGCTGGATAATAAATGCATTGAAAAAAAACTTTTTGTTGAATAAATACTTTTTGAACTGTCACATGTAACTTTTTGGTATTTAAACAATGTAGTATATGGTGAAAATTGATGTTATATATACATGGGAAATAGGCGCCCAACGTACATACGCTGGATAATAAATGCATTGAAAAAAACTTTTTGTTGAATAAATACCTTTTGAACTGTCATATATGTAACTTTTTGGTATTTAAACAATGTAGTATGTGGTGAAAATTGATGTTATATATACATGGGTAATAGCCGCCCAACGTATATACGCTGGATAATAAATGCGTTGAAAAAAAACTTTTTGTTGAATAAATACTTTTTGAAGTGTCATATGTAACTTTTTGGTATTTAAACAATGTAGTATATGGTGAAAATGGATGTTTTATATACGTGGGTAATAGCCGTCCAACGTTCGTACGCTGGATAATAAATGCGTTGAAAAAAACGTTTTGTTTAAAAAATACTTGTTGAACTGTCATATGTAACTTTTTGGTAGTTATACAATGTAGTATATGATGAAAATGGATGTTATATATACATGGGTAATAGCCGTCGAACGTACGTACGCTGGATAATAAATGCGTTGAAAAAAACTTTTTGTTAAATAAATACTTGTTGAACTGTCATATGTAACTTTTTGGTAGTTATACAACGTAGTATATGGTGAAAATTGATGTTATATATACATGGTTAATAGCCGCCCAACCTACGTACGCTGGATAATAAATGCGTTGAAAAAAACTCTTTGTTAAATAAAAGCATCTTTTATTTTAATTGTAGACAAAATTGAAGTATAATTGTTTCCTGTACAAGAATTCATTATTTTTTGATAAAGGAATAGAACTTAGCTAAAAAAGAAAATCTTATTCAGTAAACCTAAACTATAAAAACAGCGCTAGTTCATCGTCAATAGTATGTTTAGACGACATTGAGTCATAAGAGTATCCACTACAAGATCCACTACAGCTTTCAGGTACTTCGGTAGACAACAAGGTTAGTCACTTTCAGAGTCTGCACCGTCTTGAACTCCACGCGCACAATTATAAATTTTTTCAGCGTTATTTCAGAGACAACGTTCAGTTTTTCGTATACAATATATGCAGGCCTATATAAAATATCATAGTTTCACTGTCACATAGCTTTCACAACATATTTTTATATATGCAAATAAATCGGTGATGCACAAAAATGAACAGACTAACAGTTCGTAGTTTAGAAAAAGTGGATGTATAATTTACCCATGAGTAAAGTAAGATCATTGCATCCGCAATCAAATTTTCCTTTCGGCTTCGTCGTAATGCCAACGCAATCCCAATGGTACCATTGTTGACAAACATCACACAACACCCAATCCACCATTCCATTATCTTTGGAAGATGGTTCTTGACAAAGAAAGGCTTTACATTTGTCATAGGATGTCAAATGACTAGCTCTTTTCTTTTCACAAGACACACTTTTTCTGTCACTGGACTTTGCCTCTTTTCTTTTTCTTTTGTTACTTCTTCCCTTCCTGTGTCCGTCACCTTCATTAACAGTTCCGTCTCATTCACAAAATACATTCCCAGAATTACCATCATCTTCGCCACCATTATTTACAACATCTTCTCTATCACCGGGAACATCACCATTTTCACAACTATTATCAACATTATCAGTTCTTTGTCCATGACCAACATATTCGTCGGAAACGTTGTTAACAAGTTCGCCATGACTATTATCATCATTCTCACTGCTAACTTCAACAACTTCTTAGACGTGGCCACCATTGTCTTGCTCTTTGTCACATTCCTCAACATTTTCTGCATGACGAACATCATTTCCTTCACTATCTCCATTTCCACAAACGTAAGCTCATTTGATTTTTCAATAAATAAATCCAATGCTGCTTCTCCCATAGTCGATGGATCCCGTAATGATGCGTGTTATGGAATTCTGCATAATACATATTTCAAATCCCCTTTCAAAAGAGAAGTGTATGGCACTTTTGTTTTGTCCATTCCAGTTGCTTCACTTAGAATATTTTTTTTGAAACTAGTATAAGCTATTCTTACTGAAGTTGCTGCAGGATTGTGTGCAACTCCTTTTACTAATCATTGCTTCTAATATTACAAATTTTCATTCAGAAGTAATTGCATTTATTTCAAGAAATATTGACCAAGAACAACCTTTTCATATTCAATCTAAAAAGTTTTACAATTAGTTACAAGTTCATACTTACAGTATTTCTGATTTAAAATATCACGCAAAGATTTCCTCTTCTGTTTCAATCTTGCCATGCGATTCTCGGTAACAGTCTGAACGTTGTCGTTTGACTCAATTGCTACAACCAAAAAAGTTTGTATTAGATTAAAATATTAAATAAGAAACAATAATCACAAGTTCTAGGTTGTCCTGAGAAGAAAAATATATTTTCTCTCCGGCATGATGTAAAATAAGGACCACAAACCTCTTTGGGGGATGCTCTTTCTTTTGCAGTATTGTAAGGCACAAACCTCTTTGGGGGATGCTCTTTCTTTTGCAGTATTGTAAGGCAGACTTTGAGCCATGCACTTCAACACCAGATTCCACGGCAGCCACGAAAAAGTAATCAATGTTCATTCCTTTCAAAGCATCCAACTAAACAATAGCACCGATAGCATTAATAAAAATTGGAACTGATCACAAAAATAGTTTTGTGCGTTTATTTTGACCCAATAAACATACCATCTTCAAAATTTTTTTCAACTCTCGTTTCTTGCGCGTTTCGTGGTCTAAGACAGAGCAATCTGTCTTTGCCCTATTTATATAGCCTTCTCGTTGGCTTTCATTCAGGCAGCGCCATCGTTGTCCCAATTCAACATTTTTTCAGAGCATCTTGATTAAATTCAGTGTCTTCAAGTTCTCTTAAAATAGTGCGCGGTGTGGGGATATTGTAATTTAAGAAAGAATACGTGCTTGGTGACATACTTGTAGTTCAGATTGGAGACATTCAATTCATTAGAGTTGTATTTTTTTTAGTAGGGGAATTTTTTGATGAATATACATTATTGATTATGAGTAAAGGAGATGATTTTTGACTATCATCATGATAAGTATTCAAACGAGTTTTACCATCACTTTTCTGTATCTTCATCCATGGGTTGTGGAGAATCTGGTGATGATGATGCACGATTTTGACTTTCGATGCAGGTTGTCTCAGAATTTGTCTAGGTATTTGTCTCAATATTTGTCCAATTCGGTATTGGTGTTTTTAGAGAAACATATTCATTATTCTCCTGAAATTGATTTTCCTCTTGAAATTGATTTTCCTCTTGAAATTGATTTTCTTCTTGATTTTCTTTTGTTTTTCAAATTTTTTTCTTTATATTTATTTCTCTTTATAAACATATCCAAACGATTTTTCTTTCTTTTATCTTTCAAATGAAGTAAAAAATTTTCATATGACTTGTTTATTCCATTTTTTCTTTATAATAAAGAAATTTTCAACAAGTACGCTCTTATATACTACTTGAATTTGACATAAAAATTATATTTCCTTTCATTTTATCCATTAATAGTATGATTACCCTTGGTTGAACTTGTTACATAGCCTTGGTTGTACCAAAAACCATGACCAGCCGACAATTTAAAGAAGTATAATATAAAATAAATTCCGAAGAAACAAGACATCTTGAGATTGCAAAATATGAATCAAAACAAGATGAGAAGTAAACTGTAAATTTTCGACTTTATTTCAAAGTCATCCTCAGACAGAATTCTGTCTGAGGATGTGAATGAAGAATTACTACATGTTTTTATTACTATATATGGTTATTATATGCAAGATAACCTTGAAAGCTTCATATTTTTATGCTTAAATGTTGTTTTGGGGTTTTGTACAAAAAAAAATATTTGTTTTTTTGTGAAAAAATCAATTAATGCTCATATATAAAGACTCGTTGTTTGAAATTGTATGCATTGAAGAACTAGCGTGTCATATATTTGTTTAGTTTGTTTTTATAAAATGGATTTGAGTTCGTTTTGTACACCGGAATCAGAAGGATCAACTGCAAACACATCAGACAATTCAAGTCCAAATACATCAGAAGATTCAAGACCGAACACATTAAATTGGTTGAAAAGAAAATTTTATTATATATGTGATGATGATGTTGTAAACATTGAACTTAGCGAAAATTATAAAAAATTCGCGAATTAACAAAAGAAATACTTGACGTGCAGAGTGAATTAGAAGAATTGAAAGAGAAGCTAGCGCAAAATGAAGCAAAAACTATTGAATATTTAAAATTCAAGCTTTGAAAGATGCATTGAAAGAGAAGCCAGTGCAAAATGAAGCAAGTCATATTCAATATATAAAAGATATTCAAGTTTTGCAAGATGAATCATCATCATCATCATCAGCCGTTCACACCACTGCTGGCCTCCACAACTTCTTCCACTCGATTCGGTCTTTAGCTCTCCTCATCCAGGTCTTTCCAGTTTCCTCTTTGATCTCGTCTCTCCATCTTCTCTTTGGCTTTCCTCTTCCTCTGGTGCAGTTTCTTGGGTACCATTCTGTTGTTTTCCATTCTTGCCACATGGCCTGCCCATCTGCCTTTCATTTCTTTTGGTGTTTGGATGACATCTTTCACCCTGGTTCTCTCTCTGATTACTTCATTCCTGATCTTGTCTTTTAGCCTGATATTTAGTATGCTCCTCTCCATGCTCCTTTGTGTGACTGCCAGCTTCCTTGATTGGTGTTTTGTAAGCGCCCATGTTTCTGCTCCATATGTCATAGATGGTAAAATGACAGTGTCCATTATTTTCCTCTTCAAACTGTTTGGGATGTTCTTCTCCTTTAGAAAGTGACTGTATTGCCCGAATCTTCTCCACCCGACATTGATTCTTTGATTGACCTCAACACTGATTTTATTTCTTGGTGTTAACATTTTTCCAAGGTATTTGTACTCCTCCACCTCCTCCAACTTCTCTCAGTCAACTGTGATCCCTCTTCTTTGCTTCCTCCTTGCGATGTCATTGCACATGATCTTGGTTTTTTTCTTATTCATTTTCATACCATCTTTCTTTCCTTCTTCATTCAGTTTCGTCAAAAGTTCCTGGAGATCTTCCTCTTTGTTTGCAAACAAGATGATGTCATCTGGGAATCTTAAGTGGTTCATTACTCTTCCGTTGATGTTGATGCCTTTTTCCAATTGTATTCTTTTGAAGATCTCTTCAATGGCAGCAGTGAACATGATAGGTGACAGTGTATCTCCTTGGCGGACACCTTTCTTTATCTTGATCTTTTCGCTCAGCTTTTCTGTTCTTATTTGTGCTGTGCCTTCTCTGTATGTTTCCTTTATGCTGTTTACGATCTTTCCTGGTACTCCGTGTTTCTCAAGTGATTGGAATACTGGGGCATGCTTGATGGAATCGAATGCCTTTTCGTAATCTACAAATGCCATTAACAGTGGTTGTTGGTACTTGTTGGTTTTCTCGAGTATTTGTCCTGTAGCATGCAGGTGGTCTGCAGTGGAGAATCCTTTCCTGTATGCTGCTTGCTCTGGGGGTTGATGTTCATCCAGAGTGCCACTGATTCTGTTCTTGATGATTTTCATGAACAAATTGTAGATGTGGGATAGCAAACTGATGGGGCGGTAGTTTGCAAGATCTTCCTTGTCTCCCTTCTTGAAGAGTAAAATAATGATGGCGTTCTTCCACTCTTTTGGCACTTTTTCCGTCTCAATGGCTTTGTTGTAAAGATGCTGAAGTTTTTCCATTAGGATGTCACCTCCGCCTTTATCATCTCTATCACCACAAGATCTTCACGGGTGATTTTCCATTTTCATCTGATGGATTGCCTTCTCCACTTCACATTTCATGATTACTGGAGTCTCTTCTGCTGGTCTCAACTGAATGTTTTGGGAGGGATCTTCGATAGTGCCTGATAGAATTCTGCACATCTCGAGGATTCTTTTCTGTCTGTTGTTACCTTTCCATCCTTCTCCTTCAGTGCTTGAATCAGAGCCTTCTTTCCATCTCCTGTTGTGCTCTTTTTCAACCCTTTGCCACTTTCAACTGCTTCTCTGATTCTCTTGGTGTTTGCTTCTCTAAGATTTTGTCTTGTTTTCTTCCTGATTGTCTTGCACAGTTCTGAATATTCTATCTTTTCTCTTGTTGTCACTCTTTTCATTTCTCTCCGTTTCTTAAGCAATGCTTTGGTATCTGACTTCAGCTTTTCCTCTTTCCTGTTCATCACTTTTCCTGCAACCTACTCTGCGCATCGCTGGATGGTATCGCTTAGTTGCGCGGCACTTTCCTCAACGTCGTCAATCTCGTTTTCTAGAATTTCAAAACGGTTGCTTAATTCAATTTGAAATTCTTCCCTCTTCTGAAGCAGTCCTTCGATGTTGATTTTTGGTGCTGATGCCTTCACCATTCTGCTTCTTTCTATCTTTGTGTTCATTCTGACGGTGCTGCGGATCATTCTGTGGTCACTCCCGATTTTGACTGTGTTGATCACTTCAATGTTCAACATTATCTCTTTCTTGTTCACGAGGATGTAATCAATTATATGCCATTTCATTTTTGTTTCATTAAGTTCTTGCATCAGTTCAAGTAGTTTTTCATCATCTTTCAAAGTTCTCACATTGTATGTAGAGATATAGATCTTGGGAACCTGGAGATTCTTTGCACCCTCTGCCTTTCGGCTGCCGGGGACTGAGGGCCATTTTGAATTGCGTGAATTGATGTTGTGGGATTGAACCATGACTCTCCACGCTGGTTCTGTGCGTGTTGGCGAGTACCTGGTGGCTAGAGCTTCTAGCCAGCAGGAGTTTGCACTTGGTTGTTGGGTCACTTGTGGACCCTCCGCCCTGGCCGTTGGCTGCCTGTCGCTGCTCGTCCGCCCAGTGGTGCAGTGTAGACACCACCCCCTCACATGGTTTAGCCCGCCTGCTGAGACTGTGTATCGGGGCATGGTGCTTGGAGCCACATTTGAGAGATTCAGGGATGAGTGGGGGCTAGTGATGCCTGTCCACCCTACCAGGTAGAGTGCAGCAGCCAGACACAAAGGTACTTCCCCTCCTCAGAGCCCCAATGCCCCACAAGATGAATGAGATTGTTTAAACAATTTGTTAACTGATTATCAAAAAATAAAAGAAAATTGTCAAGTAAAGTTAATATTAGCACAAGTTGGATGAAGAACTTCAAAATTGAAGTGAGTGTGATATCAAAAAACGATGACAGAAAAAGTGAAATATTATTCTGAATATATTTAACATAGTTCATCAAAAATTTTGTTTAAACGATTAAAATGTAGTTGTTTTTCATCTTCGGTTATATTAACATCAAACAAATAAAATCTAAGTAATCTTTACATTTTCTAATTACATTTTCCTTTTTTTTCCTTTTTTTTGTTTTTTCTTTAGTTCATTTAATTTCATGTTGTGTTCCAATTGTCTTTGTCTTGATTTGGTGACTTCTTCAAATTTAATTGCTTCTTTTTCAATCAAATCTATCATTTCATCGCAAACTTCTTTCGTTATTTGGTTGTATATATTTTTTTCTATTCTATTGTTTAATTTTTGCTTGACGTCTTCTGTATCGTAATATTCTTTCTCTTTGGCATTTTCCCATTTTTCTTTGTTTGCTTTCACCGTTTGTTTCTCACTACTTTCGCGATAAGTGTATGGTTGCAAGTGAAGTAGATGAAATAAATGCTTGAATTTTATAGATCAAATTTTTTGCACAAATATAACCTTATGACCCCACAAACATGCTGTATTTGCGTTTACTTGTTTCACATACATTAAAACTTGCAATTTTTCTCATAACACAAACTGCATTGAGTATTAAATACTTTAAAGTGCTGAAAAAAAATATTGCATCTAGATTTTATAATAAAACTTATATTTTTGATTTTGTTGAAGTTATTAGTATCAGATTCCATCATCATCCATAAGTATTGAAGATAATTTTTCAATAGATGTGATGACAGCAAACAGATTTTGTTTGAGTTATTTATTAGTGTTGTCTAAGGCCTGCGCTATACGGACGAATTTCATTCACACGAATTCAAATATCGCAATTTTATTCGACGATACTGCGACGTATAACTTGGAAACTTACATCTCATAAATTAAATTCGACAAAGTGAATTAGGCCCGTTTTAGACGTCGAATTTCAGTCGAATTTAATTCGTCGAATTTAATGCAGCCGATTATATGCGACGTAAATGCGACGTCTAAACTGATTGCATTCGACACGTTGAATTAAATTCGACGCTGTCAAATTATGCGACAGTGTCCGTTGAATAATTCGCCAAAATTCGACAGAAATGAGATAGCAGTTTAAACGTCGAAGTTCCATCGCGTCGAATTTAATGCATAAATTATTAAAATTACATTTCTATCCCACAATTCAATATTTTTCGCCTCGTGTGTCCCACGCATAGATATAGTAGGTCTAGATTACTGACGAGCCGCCATATTGCGTGACATTCATGATAAATCCAAGATGGCGATGGAACCGGGCAAAAAACATAGAGTCACTATAGGGCAATTGATGTTTTTCGCAATTTACTTCTTTTCATTGTTTTCAAACTCTTCCGATCAAGTTTTATTGGAAACAAATCGTTATTGCAAGTGTTTTGAAGCCATATTGGACAGTTATTATTAAAATACGGGCGAAAATATCACTTTCGAAATATTGTGTAAATTGGTCGTTTAGTTGTCTCGAGTCGTTCATCCACTAGAATAAACAGATTTTGTCAGCTTTAGCTCCCATACTGGTTTGTTGCGCATTGAAATATATCATATTGACAATTTATAGAAAGATGGGAAAATCAATCTGAACATTTATGACAAAAAAGCAATTTATTTACGAAGGTACTCCCACTGTACTCGTACTGATATGTGAGATTCATCCACAGTTTAGCAAGGCCATTCGACGTTGAATGGAGAGGGGAGCAAGGAGATACATAACACTGCAGCACTATTGTTTACTGACTAGATCTTAGAAAAGCTATTAATGTTGGGAAACGTAACTGAAGGAAACTTGCCTCATCTCATTTGCTATACTGATGAGATATTACAGCTAAGTTGTTATACGAAAGAGAAGAAAACATATGTATGTTCAGTAGCTTGTTATATTACTGGTTATTTCAAAATCTGACATAGTAACATTCAAATGCATAACTCAAGATACTGTTACAATACAATTTTTGGAGAGAGTTATAAAGCTCTGTATAAAGTACTTTTTTTGTTACCAGAGCTAAGGTGTTTATTGAATTTATATATTATCTTATAAAATATTTGATATAGATATTATCGGTGGCATAGCCAGACGATGTTGCTATGTAAATTTCACTGCATCATTGTTCATTTCATTAAAAATCTCTTGTTTTTACAGTCAGTGAACACAGCAACATTAGGATAGCATGACCAAATAAAAATGCTGGCTATGTCCCAGATTATTATTAGATGTAGCTTTGAATAAAATATATGTGACTTATATCCTCAATATACTTTGTTATAGTATATGTTTTTATTATGCTATAGCTACAAACACCATCCTTGACACCAGTTGTTTCTAAACTGAGGAGGTTATCCTTATTAAATAAATGCAATTATTATTATTATCATGTTACTCTTATTATTTGTTTTCTTCTACAATGCCAATACAATTTTATAACTAAGAATGTCTAATTTGCATCACATTGTTAACATACAACTAATGACTTTCGAGACAAAACTGTATCATACTGCTCAGTTGGTTCATTTTATGACACCTATGTACAAAGATACGTAAAGAAGATAAAAACTTACGGATATTTTACCATTCAATACATGAAATTTTACGTGTAAAGAAAATTGCCATACAGTTACAGTTTTCAGTTACATATGTGTACAGTAAAATATTTGTACACCAGTTCTCCAAACTCTACTCCGAGAGAATAGTTTATAAAGGAGCGCCATCTAAGCGACAAAAGCTGACAAAACTCATCCTTTTTGGAAACGATTAAGACTGTGTCTGTTAAGTGCCAACACATATTTGAAGAATGAAAGAACGAATAGCATCTTGAAGTGAAATTTATGTAAAAAATATGAAGATTAATTTTCCCATCTTTTTGTATGTATTCAATATGATGTATTTCAACGTGGACGAACCAGTACGGGACCTAAAGCAGACGAAATCCATTTATTTTGGTAGACAAACGCCTCGAGACAACCAAACGAACAATTTACACAACACTTCGCTAGCGATAGTTTCGCACGTATTCCAATAATAATTGTCCAATATGGCTTCAAAACATTATTAATAACGCTTTGTTTCCAATAAAACTTGATTGGAAGAGTTTGAAAATACTGAAATGAAGTAAACTGCAAAAAACAACAATTGCCTAATAGTAGCCCCAAGTTTTTTGCCCGGTTCCCGCGCCATCTTGGATTTATCATGAATGTCACGCTGCCGTCTTAATAAGTCTTATATTACGTCACACTCGTCAGCGATCTAGACCTACTATATCTATGGTCCCACGATATACGCATATTCAAGATGGCGAGCGAGCAACCTTGTTTTTCATGTGAGAACATAACAAAATATACATGTATTTCTTGCGCTACTTTCGTTTGCAATCGATCGACTTGCTCAGCTGCTGAAATAGATGAAAGTGCACACGGTTGGGTTGAAGGTGTTAGTGTTGGGTACTGCAATGATTGTGTTTCAGATTTGTCAAGCGTTGCAGGTACAATTGACTTTGAAAATAATGTCGAAGAAGCAACAGCTAAACGAAAAGAAAAAAGCAAAGCATCTGGTCGAAGATCAATATGGACCTCTGCACATATTGATGACATGGTTGATATAATTGTAAACAATGAGACTTACAAAAAGAAACTAATCTTTGTGAACAATCGGCGTTCAACAAACACAGAAATTTATGACCAAACTCTTATTAAAGAAAGGCATCCATCTTTTCCATTTAACATTGTGCAGATGAGAACAAAATTTAAATGGTGTGTTTCTGTTTGCAAAAAAGTGGCTCTTACTATACAAACAGCAACAGGTATAAAAAGATTCATTGAAGAGAAAGGTTATGGTAAATGGTTTGATGGACTATTTCCCTTAATAAAAAGCAGGGATTCTTGTCAGCCTGAACAAGCAATTGAGCCATCTGCGAGTGTAAGTTCAAGCAGCACCAGCACCCCTGTAAATTTCCCTGACAAGGACAACGATGACGAGGATGATGATGATGATGACGACAGACAAATAGAGCAACCTCCACAAAAAAAAGAGAAAATATGTTTGTCCCCATAAGAAATAGGAAAAAGAAACGTGAGTCAGATGTGGGAATCAAAGTTCTGAAATTGCTGGAGTCAATGATAGAAAATGATCCCACAAAAGAACTCATAGAATTTATGAAAGAAGATGCTGCAAAATCAAGGCAAAATGAGATGGAACTTATCAAAATTTTGTCAAATCAACATTCAAGAGAAGGTTATGCTCCTGTCATGCATCATCAAAATCATCAGCAAGGGTATTTCCAAGCAGCACAACTCCCACAGCACTGGCAACAGCCTGCAGTTCCGATGGTCTCTCAAACTCCTCCACCACAACAACATTGGCAACAACCTGCAGTTCCCTTAGTTCCTCAGACACGACCAAGTGGCCAAAACTGCCACCATCAGGTTGGGCACAGTTCGTCATTTGAACAAATAAAAAAACCTACACAAAACTTTAAATGTATTTTCCATTGTATAAAAATCTTTGTTAAATTTATTGTTTTTTCTACATACTACCATACATGCAATAACATAGATTTGAACAATTCATTGCCCACAGTGCCTCAAACACTTTCCAAAACTGTAAAATTCTAATTTTTTTGAAGTAGTTTTAGTAACATTCTTACTATATTTGTAAATTTTGTGTAAAACAATTTACAATAAATTTTACTTATATTAAAATAACCAAATTTTGATGTTCAATCTTAATCATTAATATGGTATACTAACAGACACCATGTCCTTCCCTTTCTTTCCACAATTTATCTTTCAAAACCCCTCTTATCTTTACAGCCTGGACAGAAGTGTCCTTTACTTTTTCACAACTCCGCATATTTAATAGCTCCCTCACAGCTTTCCGGTCTCGTCTCGCCATTGTTGTCGGATCAGCAGCCAAATCTGATTGTGTAGGTAATGGTTCGCCATTTTCAATGCATAAATTGTGCAGCACAATACATGCTAATGTGATTGGTTTCATTGTTTGCTCATTACACTCACACTTTCTATATAAAACTCTAAATCTTCCTTTTAGCTGGCCATAAGCACATTCTGTAACCATCCTTGCACGAGACAATCTATAGTTAAAATTACTTTGTTCTGGTGTAAGTACTGCACATGTGTAAGGCTTCATGATCCATGTTGTGCAGGGAAATGCTGAATCAGCAACTATGAGTGGACCAACCTCAACCCCACCTATATATTTAGATATGGAAGGAATGGCATTGTTTGTTGATATGTCTTTCCATAACTGTGTTGCCTGCAAGATCATTGCATCATGAGTATTGCCGGGAAACCCAACACTTGCCCAAACAAATCGATATTTAGCATCAACAAGACCCATTAAGACAATAGAATAGAAGTTTTTAAAGTTATAATATTCCTTGCAGCCTCTGCTCCACCATCTGGGCATTTAATAGAAATATGGCATCCATCAACAGCTGCCCAACAGCAAGGAAATTGCCAAATCTCCTCCATCTCAATCATCTTCTCTCTCAATTGTTCTTCAGACGAGGGGAAATGTCGGGTAAAAGCATCTTGCCACAAATTTAAAACAATTGCTTGGCATACCTCGATAACAATTCCTTGTATTGTCGCAACCCCCAGGCCCGACATCTCAGACAGTGTGTAATAGTAATCACCTCGTGCCAATCTGTAAAGGCAAATGGCTAGTCTACAAGCTGGTGATACTGGCAGTTCGGTTCTTGCAATTCCATTAAGAACGAAATTGAAAATGTTTCGTGACACGCGAAAGGTGCCTCTAAATCTCTTTTCGGAGTAACTGGACCATACAGAGTTCCACCAAAGACTCCATTGTGTTGTTCTTTCCAAGCGGCGACAAGAACGAACTCGCGAAATCGATGGTTTTTTAGCTGTAAGGGCGAGCAACAGTGAACATAACTGGGCAATACGTAATTTCCTATTTCTCAAATAATTTAATATTTGTAGCTGCTTTTGTCTTCTTTCCCTTCTTATTTTCAAAATTTGCCTCAACACGATAGCTCTTGTAACAGCCGCCATATTTAAAATATAAGTTAGGTCAGGCTACCCTAAATTTAACCCGATTTGCAGGCTTAGCAATTAAATTCGATGAACTGACTTCGACGTATAAACTGATGATAACGACGTATGCTGTTTCCGTCGAAGTTCCGTCGAAGTGTTTAAAAATTAAATTCGACGAATTAAATTCGACTGAAATTCGACGTATAAAACGGGCCTTAGATTCGTCGGAGATTGACGCGTTATGCGACACAAATGCGTGTTAGAAATAGACGATGAACTACAGTCGCATTGAATTAAATTCATTAATTATATAAAAATATTTCAACCAATCATAGACAGCGTTCTATTTCATGGCGGCAATTCAGCAAAAATAGTCATGAAACAATATGGCAGATGCAGATTGTTTTGTTTGTGATGAGCCAACAAAATATCGTTGTAAGTAGATTGTAAAAGAAACAAATCAATTCAGGCCAGGAAATCTTCCCATTCGATGTCAAACAAATCAGAATAAAATTCAAGTGGTGTGTTGCCATTTGTAAGAAGATGTGCCTTACAATACGAACCGCCCCTGGCATTAAACGGATCCAGGATGAAAAGGGTTACAGTAAGTGGTTTACTTTGTTATACCCGCTGATAAAGTCTCGTGACTCTTGCCAGCCTGAGCAAGCGATTGAACCCGATGCTGTTACAGACATAGAAAATCAAAATAACTTAGAAAATGATTTTGGAGTTGATGTTTGACAGTGAACCATCAAGTGGGTCAAGCTTTTCTGTGGCAAAAAAAACCACATATAAGAAACTCTGAGTTATTGACTGATGCAATATTAGAGTCAGCTAAAGTTTTAAAAACTGCTGTGGAAAATGATCCCACTAAGGACATAATAAATATCATTAAAGAGGAAATGCAGCAATCCAGAGAGCAAGACAAAAAATTTATGGAACAAATGGCAATTATTGTTCTACAAAATTTACATCCAGGATCATCTCAAACTTATCGCCAAACCCCAATATCTGCTTATGACTGTACAGTTGGACACTTAACAAATACCAATCGGGGCTTGGAATTGAATTCATTTGATCATCAATCAAATGCAAGTGCACAACAACAAACATCTAGCAATGGGGACATGACATGGAACATGCTTAATAGCCCTCGTACATATCACCATTTATAACACTGTTTTTGTATTTTAATTTCTTTACAAATACTTTATTTGAACACAAATTGAGAAACATTCTTTTGTTTTTTTTAAATATGACTGTTTTGTTAGTGTTTTTGTAAGAAGGTATTCTTTTACGTTTAAGAGAAATGTGAGAATGAACAGAACATTACATTTTACTATAGCTGCATGAAGTGTATCTTACAAGTTCTTCAAGTCTAATAATTCACTAAAAAATCCTAAACATAGAATACTTCTGTTATGACCCTCACCTAAACATTCAGTTATCTCTAATAAAGTATATAGTGCATAGAATTTCAATGAAAACCAAGTAAACATTCCAATTTAATGCCTTGAGCATTGGCATAACCTGGCTAGCCAGTTTGGTCATGCTAAAAAAATATCATCTGGCTCCCTCCATGTAAATGACTTCTACACAAATAAATATTACTAATGATCTATAATTTATATAGCACAACCTGGTTTTGCCACTGAGCAATGGTAATAAATTGCTATGTTTACGTGCTGCTTGTACCAGAGGTTTTTTCTTTCCATAAATATTCAGAAATTGATGAACGAATCTGTTCAGCTTTGTTGCATGTGTCCCTAGTCTTTTCACAAGCCCTGAAAAGAGGATGAACAGCCTGAGATTTGCAGATGATATCATCTTATCTGCTGAAAAGGAAGAACACCTCAGCAAACTTTTGAACGATCTGAACGAAGAAGGGAGGAAAGATGGAATGAAAATGAACAAAAAGAAGACAAAGATCATGTGCAATGAAATAGCGAAGAGAAGGAGAAGAAAAGGAATATTGATTGATGGAGAACGGCTGGAATAGGTTGAAGAGTACAAGTATTTGGGAAAAGTACTAACACCAGGAAATGAGATGGCGAGAGAAATAAATGAGAGAATAACATCAGCTTGGAAGAGATTTGGACAGTACAGCATGTTCATGAGAGATCAAAGAATGCCCATGTGTCTGAAAAGGAAGATCATTAACACTGTCATACTACCAGCAATGACTTATGGAGCAGAGATGTGGGCACTTACCAACCATCAAAGAGAGAAACTGGCAATCACCCAAAGGAGTATGGAAAGATCAATGCTCGGTTTCACGAGGAGAGATAAGATCCGAAATGAAGACCTGAGAGCAAGAACAAAGGTTAAGGATGTCATCGAGAAAGTTATTGAAGCCAAAGGAAAGTGGGCAGGACATCTAGCCCAAATGAAAAACCATGATTGGGCAAAGAAAATAACTGAATGGACCCCGTGGGACAAGAAAAGAGGCAAGGGAAGACCAAAAAGGAGATGGAGAGATGACATCGAGCAGAGAGCGGGCAGCACGTGGATCCAGAGAGCCCAAGACTGTGAAGAGTGGAGAAAGATGTGGAGGCCATCCGCCAGCAGTGGTGTGAAAGGCTGATGATGATGATGATGGAATAGTTTAACCATGGAAAAAATATAAAACATCTATTCATAGATATTTAACAAGAGCATTATACCAGATTTGTAACATATTAATCATAGGTGTGATCCATTACAATGTTAGGGCATTATCCTAATCCACCGATATACTCAGTCAATTTCTTGTGTAGTTGTTTTCTGTGTAGTTGTTTTCGGTCAGTTTCTTTTTGTCTTTTAGTTGTTTCAGTTTCTGGTTGATGCAGTTGGTGGTAGTTTTGCTGGGGTTTGCGTGGCGAGGTTCGTAAGTGGTGGTGTCTTGTAGGAGGGTTTTGACTTTGTCGATGTATTCTGATCTGTCCATGATAACTGTTTTGCGTGCTGTGTCAGTTCGTAATATGATTATTTCGTCGTCGTTTTGTAGGTTTTTATGTGCTCGTAGTTCTTTCTTGTTTAGAGTGACTGGTGGTTTATGGTAGAGATTATTGGTGATTTTGTGACAAATGTCTTCTTTCGTTTGGTCTGTTAAGTTTGTGTGCTTAAAAGCTGATTGCAAGTCGGCAACGTAGTCAAGTTTCTTCGTGTCTTTAATGTTGTAATTGAATCCTTTGTTTAGAATTTTAGTTTGTTGTTGGGTTAGTGGTTTCCTCGAGATGTTTGTGACAAATTCGTTTGTGTTGGGATGGAGTTGATGTATGATCTTGATTCTTGTAATCTTCGATGAAGTTCGTGATGTCGTTTTGTTCTATATGTGGATGTTACTTTTTCGATGGCTTCATTAATGGCTTTGGCATCTGATTGTGTAGTGTATCTTGTTACGGTTTCTCGATGTTCTTGTAGTTTATGTTGGTAGATACGTACCATTTCATTTGATTGTGCAATTTGTGCAGCGTGAGTTGTTTTAAATGGTTGTCGGTAGTTGATGCTGTTTGGTAGGATTCGTTGTTGTTTGCATTTGTGTAGGAAAGTAAGCTGCTCCAATGTGTATGATTCTTTGCGTGTGAATAATTCCCATTTTCTTGTTCTTTTGAGAATAAATATCCCATATGTCGATTTTATAAGTTTAAAGATTGGTAATCCAGGCATATTTAATGTATAAAAATAAAAGATTCTCCAGATTGTATAAAATAATTGTTATTCAGCTTTCGACTCGTTGCTCCGAGCCTTCATCAGAATAAGGAAGTTTTCAATTACATATGTCGACAATATCTTTGCCATAGTCAAAAAAGACAAAACTGAACAAATCTTACACACCATAAACAATACCACGAAGAACATAACCTTTAGTAAAGATGAAGAGCATGCCCAACAACTTACTTTCCTCGACATCCTACCAACCAGAACAGATGATAGTACACTAAACACTTAAGTGTACTGCAAAACCACCCACACAGACCAAATACTCGATTTCAACAGCAATCACTCAACACAACACAAAATAAGCTGCATTGGAACACTTTTTAACAGGATAAACACTCATTGTAACCCCAAAGAAGCCAAGAAAACAGAATGCAACTACTTATACTCCACATTTATTAAAAACAATTACCCTAAAAACTTCATAAACAAAACTATAAACAAAATACAAAACAAAACACAAACTGACAAAAGCAACAAGAAACCAGACAAAACAGTAAATATTGTCATGTTACCATACATAAACAGAACATCAGAACTGATTGGCAGACTTCTTCAAACGTTTAATGTTAACGTTGCCCACAAACCCACACATAAATTCAAATCGTGTTTCACCAAACATAAAGACAAAATAACAATTCATGATACAACTGATGCAATCTACATGATACTATGTAAAGACTGCTCAAAGCAAAACATTGGATAAACATCAAAGAAAATCAAAACCACTCACAGAACACAAAAACGCCATAAAACGATGAGATCCGAACTCACTATGGGCAGAACATACCCACGGAAACAACCACACATTCGACTGGACAGAAACTAAAATACTCGGACGTGCACAGACTAAACAAGCACGCGAATTTAAAGAAGTTTGGTACAGTGGGGACGACACAATAAACAGACATATCGCTAACAGTACAATACTGTGAAAACCTTTGTAATTAAAAAAGTCAGAACCTCCTCTTGCTGGACATACAATCATTATATGCTTCCCATCTAGTGCTCGTAGACATTGTGGGAAATCCCTTTCGTCAAAGACGTTTTTTGATATTTCCTTCCAATCGGTTATTGTTTCAGGTGCTTTCAAATACAGAGAGCTCAAAACCTTCCAAATTTCAACACATGTCTCTTTCATTACTACACAAACAGTACTTTGTCCTATTTGGAAGTTAAAGATTGGGATTGCTGAGAATCGCCACTGCCCAAAAATCTCAACGTTATCACCAGCTTTTCAAATGGATTTATAGTTTCGCAAAGGCATGTCGTTTGTTTTGTAATATGTGGACCCATTAATGACAACAAATGGTCAAACCGCTCTGGACTCATTTGGAGGTATGTAATAATAATCATGATATGGGAGCCATTATCAATCATGTTTAATAGCTATATAAATTTAACTCATTAAATCATCTTTAAATTTTTCATAAGATATCACATAACTATAATGATCATGCAACAGAATAGGCTATGAGAATGCATGTTGCTTGTTTTTCAATTTACTCTCAAAGTTAAGCCATGTAGGATGTAGCTACCTGAAAAATATTCTTCTTGGTCTGAAGATCGTAGTTTGTAAAACAGTGAGTGAAATTGGCCATACTCTTTTCTTTTTTGCAAATGTGGTCGTACCCAATGCTTTCGCCTTCTATTTTCTTTTTTTGTTGCTTTATCAAACGACTTTTCATATGGACAATAGCTAATAGCAAAAGAAATTGTCCATGCAACAAGATACGTCTATTTACAGCCACCATGTTTAAGTTTTTTACTGTGCGTAATACGCAAGTGTGAACGTTTCGGTGTTATTCATCCCTAACAAATCGTATCTATCGGTGTAAATACGTCGACAATTCTTACGACTAGTGTGAACCAGGCTTTATAAACACGTTATAAGAATTTTGAACTAATTGGATATGTACTTGTTATAAACAACTGCGAAAAAACCTTGTGGAATTCCAGAAGGAGAATTTAAAATTCCATCTTCAATTTTTTCTTTAAAAATATCATATTCCACTTCTTCCTTTGAACCAGGGAATAGAGGAACGTAAAGTGTGGTGTCAAATGTGTTTGATCTGGAATAAACATCTTCCCAAAAGCGCAGTAAAGGCATTGGTGTAAAGCCATGGGGTGGGGTGTCATCACTACCTGTTGCAAAGGTTAGTACATCTTCCAAAATAGCACCACATCGTCCAGCTAAACAGAGACCAGTATACATGTTGATGTCGACTAGCATTATTTAATTTCTTCGATTTTTCAATTGCATAACTAATAATGCACACTTACGAATTCTAACTTAACATCTTAGATTTGTTAAATACTTTAAACTAGAATTATAGTCAATGAACTGCCTTACAGTACCTTAGCAATCTTGCAGATAATCCCTCAATGCATAAGTGCAAGTTCTTGTTGGGGGTATTTGTTACTTCCGGGTTCATCCATATTTGGAGTGAACAAAAAATCAACATTGGATGCTTTTAGTTTTTTGTCTTTACCACAAAATACTTGTCGTATCAAAACAGTATGCTCTTTCATAAGCTCTAGCACATGAAGG